CAATCATTTTCAGATTTAAATGATATTAATCTAGGAAATACAAAGAGCCATATAGGTGAGACTTATAAACAAAACATATTCGAAACCTGTTTCATTTAGTTATTTCAATGACATATGTAAATGAGAAATCATCAATAAGAAACCTTCGTCAGTGATTTTTTCCATTGTATATATACCTACTTCGCGAATTAATCGATAGACAATATTCTTTTTTAGGGCTATGGTGAATTCAAAACACAAAAAACGTAGAAGACGAACTTCGTCAGCGTCTTCAGACGAGGGAAAGCCTGCGAACAAGAAGAGGAGTCGTATAGATTCCGCTGCGTTACTGGAAAGACTGTAAAGAATAGAAGCGAGTTGAAACATCGGTCCACATCACGATCAACGATATCCTCACGGGTGTATGATTCACGCCATAATGATCGTAATCTCATACAGTCTCCGAAGCGAGTAGTTTCTGACGTATGTTCTCAATCGATCCGACGTTTACCTATACGGGAAACTTGTGCGGGGTTAGATCATTCAGCGTTGCCGTGTGTAGCGACCAACACTGAAGATAACAAGCAAGACGAAAATGTGTGTAACATTTCAGTAATACCAGATGAGGTGTCGGGAGTTCACAGCCCAGAACGAGATGAACTTGTCATTCATGATGACGTTATAGTTGAACAAATACTCTCACTTTACACAAGCAGATAGTTTCACAATGGCGAACAATTCTGTCGAACGGGTTGAAAAAATCCGAATCACAGACTTTATTCATCGCATATGGTGTCCCCAAGAATTTGAACAATTTGAGCCCCCCTAAACTTAACCCCGAAGTAAAGGCTGTTCTGTCTAAATAGAGTATTTTGACAGACTCCTCTCATGTGGAAGTTCAAAATCAGTTTGAAAAAGTCCTAGGTGCCTTAGGAAAAAGTTTTAACGTTATGCTGGAAAACTTGGAAAAAATTCCAGAGGACCTAAAGAAACAAATTTTTTCGGACTTGTCAGATTCCGGCAGAATTCTGTTTCATCGCGTGTCTGTAACACATAAAAACATGATAGCACCTTGTTTAAAAAATATGAAGGAACTATCAGATACTAGCATTCATACAGAATTTTTTAATCATAAACGAATGGAATGGAAGAATAAATTCCTTGAAAACACTCGAGAGTGAAAGTAAGGAACTGAAATTACCTAGTGCCAAACAAAATCCTATTTGGAAACAAAGCAGAGAGGGAGGCGGGCATACTCAGAGCCCGTTTAACCACGGTCAATTTAACATGGGAAGAAATTTAAACTCCTACCGCCCGGTCCGTCGGTTGGGGACGACAGGACCAGAAGCGGGCCAGACCTCCAAGCTTACCACCGAAATTATTCGAGGGACAACCAATGGACCAAGAGTAAAGACAGACGGAGATATTAATAGAGAAAGTGAGTATCACGGGTTATGCAGGCCAGCTGAAAAACTTCAGGCACCATTGGTTGCATTCAACCAAAAACCATATCATATTACATTGGCTAGAGGGGTACAAACTACCCTTTATTAAAAAACCGCCACCTTACCATCGTCGTGGCGTCGTACTAAAAAATCTGCAGTAGAACATAGACAAATGCAGGTTGAAATAAACAATTTATTACAAGTGGGTGCGGTAGAGACTTGTAATATCTGCCCTATTCCTCACAAACAAACCCAATGGTAAAAAACGTTTCATTTTGTACCTGAAAGCTCTTAATAAATACATTCACGCTCCACACTTCAAAAAGGAAGATGCCAGAAGAGCCGGTAAACTGATTCGAAGAGGCTACTATGGAGCTAGGTACTGATGATCTTAAGGACGCCTATTATTTGTTGCCAATTTATAAAGAACATAGAAACCCGAGATTTTTTTTCAACAACACTCTTTTAATTTGTATGTCTATCATTCGGCTTAGCGTCTGCTCCTTATGCTTTCACGAAACTCTTGAAACCTGTAGTTCAGAGTTTAAGTGATAAAGGTATACTGTGCACCAATTATCTTGACGATGTTTTCATACTAGGATCAACAGCAAATCAGTGCAGAGAGAATGTGCATGTCGTTACTTCCTTATTGACCTCTCTAGGATTTATTATTAATTTAGAGAAAAGTGTCATGATTCCTAACAATGTAACGGAAAAACGTACCTAAATATTGAAGTCCTTCAAATATTTCCTCAAACACCCAAACTTTCAAATCCTTAGATTTGCACATTTTTAGGTTTACTTACAGCCGCTTGACCAGCGGTTAAATATGGTTGGGGGTACACAAAACTCTTCGAAAGAACTCTTCGATCTCATTTTTGAGATCCAATAAAGGAAATTATCATGCATACATGTCACTGCCAGAATCTTAGCAAAACATAATCTTAGAGGAGATCGATACGATTTAGAAATTCGTACTGATGCGAGCTTGTCAGGTTGAGGAGCTTTTTCAGGCGGTGAAAGTACACATGGCTGGTGGACTCAATAAGACTCGTCCCACCACGTCAACCATCTGGAGCTTAAAGCGATATTTTATGTCTTGAAATGCTTCACCAGCCAGTTCAATAATTGTACCGTTCTTATGCTACGGTCCGAAACAGAGTGGGCTCTAGATCAAAATATTTTCGATAATATTACACGATACTTTGAACAACCAGAAATCAATAGATTTGCTTCATTGAACAACCATAAATGTCAACGATATATTTCGTGGTTGAAGGATCCACGGTCAGAAAATATTGACGCTTTCACTGTATACTGGGGAAGCATATATTTTTATGCATTTCCCCCATTTTTGCAGATAATAAAAGTTCTACAAAAAATATTAAATGAAAATGCAGAAGGGATAATAATAGTTCCTCTCTGGTCATCACAACCCTGGTTTCCGTTATTCTCAAAACTAATAGTAGGCACTCCTCTTCAGTTTGGACCCAACTCAAATCTTTTATTTTGTCCTTTCAGCGGAGAAAATCATCCACTCTATCGAGACCTTATCCTGGTAGCAGCCAAACTATCTGCGAAGCATTTCGCAGAAAGGGAGTGCCTGAAGATGCCATAGGAACGATGCTAAGATTCTCAAGTCAAAACACACTCAGTCAGTATGGCACAACATACAAGTTGTGGTGGCAATACTGTCAGCTAAAAAGATATCCCTCTTCGATTGCGAAATATCGGATATCTTTTTTTCCAGGACATTCTAAACTCGTCTGGAAGCATTTACGGAACCTTCAATAAACACCGAGCGACTTTATCACTAATACAAATTTGGAAATCAAATGCTTTATAAAAGGTGTTTTCAGACTGAGGTCTCCAAAACCCAGATATAATTGCACCTGGAACCCTCAAGAGATTTTTGAATTTTTTGAAAATTGTGAGTCTGACCTGAAATTTTTATCCTGCAAACCTTATTGGCCTTGGCCACTGGAGAAAGGTACAAACAATTTCACTTATCAAATGTTCAAACGTGAAAATTTCAGGTTCAGGCATTATCATCCTAATTCCAGATTTAATAAAAACCTCAAGACCGAAATTTTACCTACCATCCTTGTCTTTGCCATATTTTCATCAAAACCCACAGCTATGTGTAGTATCTTTGCTAATACATTACATGGATACCACTAAACCTCTAAGGATAACTGGTTGTGATGCTTTGTTTATTTCAGATCAAAGGCCACACGGTATAGCTTCCAAACAAACACTCAGTCGCTGGGTGAAATTTATACATCGGAAAGCGAAAATAGATTCTACAGTTTTTACAGCCCATTCCATTAGACACGCGTCAACCTCTTCGGCTTTACGAAAGGGTATCTATACGTAATCAGAAAGTCAGCTAGTTGGAGCAAGGAGTGTAATACAATTGCCAAATTCTATAATAGACCTCTAGTTAGCTCTAAGAATGATTTTTTCTATTCTATTATGAATCTAGAATAATTTGTATAACTTGTATAATATAATTTGTATAACTTCCCTGAAGTTCGATCGAAATTATATGATAGTCCAGTCCGAAAATATTACAACCCTGTCCCATCCACAAAAAAAACCCAAATGACCATAAAAACACATACAATACAATTATTTAAACTAACGAAAACATTTCCACACGCTATGTGATGGGCCGGCTGGAGGGACAGACCCGTATTTTGCCTTTCTTTGAACCTTGTGCTGTGAAGTAGAAGAAAACATATACTACATAATTATGCAATATTTTTGGACTGGACCATGATATAATTTCAATCGAACTTCAGGTTAAGTTCTTTTGATTGTTTTCATTACTTTTATATAAATTTGAGAGCATTAACTGGAGTGTATTAAGGCGTTATGATATATAATTTGGTTAAATTGTCAGTTAAAATATCACAATAAAGTGTTACTTGAATAAGTTATGGATTTTTATCAAGTATCAGCCATCAAGTATTCATTCAATGTGTATTATTAATGTTAAGAACTGCCAAACAGTGAAGAACTCTAGATAGTAAACTATACAATTGTTTTCAATGACCTTATATTTCAGATATATTGTTATTTTTACTTCAATTTATTTGAACAATATGAAGAATAATCTTTAGTAAAGCTTTCATTATTCAATTTATTTACTTTTTGTTTTATAACCCCAAAAAATTACTATGAATAAATAAATTCTGCATTCTACATTTTGGGACCACAAATTCACTAAGCGTACTAAGAATCAATGAAATTGTTTCAACCTGTGTCCACGCGTTTCTGAAATTTAGAACATTCTGTGGCCACCGGAGAAAGTCTCAGGAATATAAAACGGAAATGACCACTCGTGGATACGTAGAGTCTCAAAATGTTAAATATGCATGCATGTTATGTATTCTACTGTTACTATTATTCTGTTCTACTATTTTGTATATTCTATACAAAGGTGTACTGTTATCAAAATTTGAGCAAAATTGGTTATCACTAATTTCAACATTGCAAAAATTTGTGCTCTGAAAACCTACAATTTTTTCTCGACTTCTGGTCACGATCAAATATTTTCTTATGTTTACTAACCCCATAGCGCTGCACATAATATTTCGCTGTTGAACCTTTTCTTGTATTTCCTGATTTCTGGAGTGTCCGAAGATAATTCATGCGAGGTGGGTGTCACATTTACGTTGACATGTGATTCTCTTCTAGAAGGTGCTGAATTGGCTCCAAAACCAAACGCTAGGAATGAACGTTGTTTCTGTTGCAAGGCAAGAGCATTAGCGTGCATATGGTGTGGAGGAGTTTTGGACGAAGGCGGGGTTATTAGAAACTGTAAGAGAATTTAAAAAATTGTTATTTTTATGAACAAACTAATATTCGTTCTTGAGATAAATAACATTGAATTCAGTTGCGGATAAGGCATTATTTTGGTAAGAATGTCAATAGAGCTTCTATCTCTCAAGATAAGATTCATATAAACAACTTCAACATACATATTCAATAATGAAACGATATTTCATGGCAAATGTAGCTTTCCAGAAATATTATACATGTTGAGAAATGAGATTGTTATTTTCAATATTATATCATTTATAGTTCAATAGAATGTCTGGCAATATATGTGAATTGAAAGATTTGATAATTTGTTCACATTGTATTTCATTTTCACACAGGAGTCACAGCAAAATTTTTAAAATATCTGAATATCTGAACGTTTTTAAACATTGTTACTTTAAAATAACATTTGGTGTATTGGTACTCTGTATTTCAAATCTACCCGTAACTAATTACTATTCTATGATTTTCAATAAAAAAAACCTTACATTCATTTTTATGTACTTAACAAAAAATAATATACCTAAATCTACAGCCACCTAATTGAATTAAAACAAAAAAACAAAATTATGACTGAATGAAAATAACCTATAAATGAAGAATATGCAATGTAAGAAGTTTGGCGAAATTCCAAAAGGTATTTTTGTCACTGTTTTGATAATTTGCCATAATTCTTTCCTAGAAATAATCACAAACAAACAAGCACAAGCAACAGGCACATTCAAAGAACTATTCAAATGAATATTTGGCTTCTGTGATTTAGTCCAATTATACACATGTTTGGTGGAAACCAGTCATGTCGAAAATGATTTTGTTTCAAACTAATTCACAAAAGCCACAAAGTGTCAAAAAAATGTTAGTGGATCAATAAAATGATAATGAAGTCTTTCCCGTTAGTTTTCCAAAACCAACAAATGCATGAAAAAATAAGTAAACTAGCATAAAAATGGATTACGAGAAATTATGAATGACTAACTACCATTCCACCATGTACTGTTTGATAATTTTTATTTCCTACAGTCAGAAATCGTTTTCAAAATAGTGAAACTTCAAGTAATCAATGAAAGATTTGATTTGATTTCGATAATAATCTTTATTATTCCCAAGAAACGATAATATTTATAATTTAGATTCCTGTACATTTCACTCAACTTACGATAAAATGCTTATGGAAAATAAAAATAAATTAAGCATTAGTAGCAACACAAAACCCTGTCGGAAGGCATACATCTCATGACTTTCTAAATCTTTTTTGAAAACCGCTGAGGTATACCATTTTGTTCTTCTAAACACTAATTTCTATATATTTAATTTTTAGCAAAATCAACATTTGAAAATATTAGAAAAATCTTTCCATATAAAATATGTTCACAGTTCCACTTCTAAACTTATTCCACTCTCCTCGCTTTTGATAATTTAAATCGAGAAAGTAGTTTTCTATGATAACTGTTTCATCGAGTGATTTTCTCCACTTATCTCTAAATATCGTGGATCGGCAATCATTTCTTCAAGTAACAACTGACAATTGTCAATTCACCAACAATAACATTTTAAACCCAAAGGACCATATCCAATAAGGATTATGTTTGGAGCACATGTATTTTTTCTACATTGACTACTCTATGTATTCGTCATTAATGTCAGTTATAATTAGGGTGAATTTTTGAACAAAAAAAAGTACACTTAGGATTTGTAAAATGAAGGTTTATTTTTTATTGTATACAAGTATACAGATGCAGCAGCAAGAAAACAATGTATTTTTATAAAATATCTACCTATAAAATATATACAATATATGAATTGAAGGGGTTATATTTTTAGGAGTGATTAATTTTTTGGGAAAGAAAGTTTTTGGCTTTCTACTACTCCATCTGATACAAAAAAAAGGATGAGAGAATCTTCCAAAGAAAGGAAGGATTAATNTTTTCTTTCGACATGCCAGCTTGACTATCTGGAACATTTTGGTACCAATCGTATTTTTGGGAACTAAGGATAGCCTTCAAATTTTTCAAACATTTCACTACAAGTCTCATTGAAGTTTGTGTGGACTTGCATGATGGATTCCAGAGTAGATAACTTCATCTGCGATTTTTCGGAACTCCAAAAGTTATTTATATTTGAGAACAACCTTTCAAGCGACGCACTGGTCCCAGGCAGACAAAAAATACACTCGCATAAAATCTTAACATTTTTTAACCCGTTTTCTATTTGCAATAGTTCGAGCCATCGATCTTCAGCACATTTTTTTGTACTCGACACCAATAAAATCGCAAAACTGTTTTAATTTATCTACTCTGACTGTAAAAATATATAAATGCTTAAAAATCTTAACCGCAATAACCTCGACATCAATTGGTAAGACGTCCGTCGCATTTTGTACACAGTTGTTGAAAATGTGTGCCACACATCCAATTCCAACCAAGGGTTTGCCACGAGAAGCATTTAATTTGTGAAATAGATTGTTCACCCCTTGTCTTCTCATTCCGCCAAAATTTGTATTCGTATTATCAGCAGACAATCCAATAAATACATTTGTCAAGTAAATTCTGGTTATTCAAAGCACTAACCACATAGTCGTTTAACTGCTCTGATGTTTCACCAGGTAAGTCGCGCAACTGAAGTAATTTCACTTGGATACTCTTTTCATAATCAAAGTACCTCACCATTATGGGCACAACTTTGATTTCCTTATGATTTGGCGAATCAATCGTGATGCTAACAAAATTTGCTTTTTGTAGATCAATTTTTAATCTAGACTGAGATTCTTGAGCAAAAACATTTTTCACAATGTCTTCAGTTTTGGTTCGAGCAGCTGCAAATTTTGGCTCAAACATATTTACTATGAGTTTGGACGTGCAGTTTAATGATCTGAAACTTTGCAAATGCCTAATTGTATGATAAGCAAACGCACCTTCCTTGGCGGCAATCAACATATTTTCCGAACTGAAGTTTTTAGTTTTAAGTAAGATTTCCAATTTTCTGCTGTTCAACTTCGTCTTTGCAGCCAAAATATGCTTTTTCTTTAACAAAGGTTGTTTAATGGTGCTGCGACCACTGTTAGAAATATCAACATCACTTCGGCAAATTTCGCAATACACAAGAATATTATGTTACATAATATTCTTATCTTATAAGAACATAATTTATGTAGGTACTTCTTCAACACGGAACACGAAAAAATTACAAAAAACCGCTTGACCAATTTAACGCTCAACTAAATCAAAACTAATCGACAGCCGACAGCGAATGCAGACGATATCAAACGAAATGCTAAAAAATCGTTGTGACTGGGATGGCCAAATAGCGGTCGAACTGCGGTAAAATGAAACAGCGAGATAAACGTATCGGCAAGCTAGTTTACGTGCGTCGCGTTGTTGCGCGCTGTTTTACAGGAAGGCGATCATTGGCTGCACAGTGGGTTAAACCAAACCAAATCGCTATGAGGTTCGTTCCAACCTTGAGTCACAAACAGATTTCCAACTGTTTGTAAATCGTTGACAACGCGCATGTCTGGTAAATATTGGTTTCTGATTAATTTGAAATTTCTGATTGGAACAGCTAGTTGGAACGCAATCACATTACTGCGCAGAATCCTGACTGTCAGAAACTGTTTCTGACGCTGGTTGGAACGAACCTATTGATATACACCAAAATCAGTTTAATTATTTCGTTTTTTTTATTGAAACAATAAGTAGGACATACTTTTTGGTAGGTATCTCTAAAAAAAAGTACATTTAGGCGTACTTCATAAACCTTCGAAGATAGTAGGACAGTGTTTGAAAAGAAAGTACTACTGTCCTAATAAAAAAGTACATATGGTCACCCTAGTTATAATATGTAGGTGATGTTTGTATTTTTGAGATTAATTTGCTTTTTGAAAGTCATTTCAATTATATGCATTTCATTGTACATATTGATAAAGATTCTGTGTGGTGCATATATAATTATTCAGGGTTGGCTACTCTCTGTATTTATCATGAATGTCAGTAGTTGTTCTGACTTCATAGAGAACAGGTGTGAGTTTAGTAAATTGTTTATAGTTCAGTAGGGTACGATGACTATTAAAAGGGAAAATACACTAATATTGGATTTCAAGAATGTTAGAAAGAAACCTCCAAATATAAATATCCATAGATGGATTAAACAAGATTTCGATTTCTCAAGAGATCAAGTAGAATGTATTCAATATGATCACATACGTTCGATGGTGTACATAAAAGTTATAGGTGGTTCCACTTATGTTTCGCTTGCGTTTACGCAGCTATTTTTATCAAGTACTTTCTTGGTTTTTTCTCATTTTGTCTTCAATCGAGGACCGCCTGCCCGGTACTGACGATGCCCAATAGGCTGAAACAGCTGTATACCGGTGGCTCTTAAATTGAAATCAATATGGGAATGATCA